TAGCAGAGAAAGGACGGCTGCACGAAGCAGGTGGGAGAAAATTTCCTTTAGGAAAGAAGTCCTGGGCTTTATGTATTGAAAATTTTCCTGAAATGTTTCACTGTTACATGCGAGCCTGATCCTCCAGCATAATTCTGCCACAGAACAGTCAGTGGGAGGTTTGCATTTTAATTTCACAGGAAAAAGGAATCACGACTTTGTTTTGTGCAGATTGTATGAGCTCCTGAAATCCAATTCTGCTTTCCATGTGCAAATAAAGCTTTCACTGGCTACAGCTGGCTGCACATTAGGGTTTTCTGAAATAGAGTTTAGCCCACTGAGTTTTTCAGAGCAGCCTTAGAGCAGCCTGTGTATTTTAGATGACTGTTTTATTTTTATTTGTGCGTGTGCCATTTTTCATGAAGTGTTTCACAAAGAAGAAGCATGGCTTGTGTGAGTAAATGAAGTATGTCAGCCAGCTGAAGAATATTTTCCTATCACAGAATATTTTCCTATCACTTTTCAAGTATGGATACACCGAAAACCAAAATCATGAGAAACATTTCATGTGAAGAACTTGGGGCTGATTTCAAGCCACCTGACTCCACTTCGGTTTTGCTTTTTAAAATTACCTAGAAAATACCATAATCTTCTTTTTTGTACAGCTGGATGAGAGCCAGACCTCTGGCTCCAGAGGTAAAGGGCAAAACCTAAAAAAATCCTGTCTGAACAGGCAACTCCACCCTTTTCCCCAAGTCAGCTTGGCCTTCTGACAGAAAGTGAGCTCTGAAGCAAATTCATTCATTGCCTTGTTTTTGGACAGAACTCAAAATTCTGAACTCACACCACAGAGAGACTGTTTCCATGAAATCCAGCACGCAATTTTATCTCCCTTTGTCTTTTCCTATAATCAGATAAAATTAGCATTTGGACAGTGATTAATCAGATTAATCATTTTAATTGCTTTTATCAAAGAGAAAAGCCTGCACTGGAAATGCAGTGTGTCAAAGGAAGGTGACTGCCTTATAAGCAGAGTTGAGAAGGAGCTCTGTGTTGTGATGCAGCAGTGAGGGGGAGCGTTCTAGCCAGGTATCCAAAATTAAGGGGGTTAAATCATCCCCTGAGCTAGATGTTTGAGCCCCACCAAAATCAATGGGAGGGAGGAATTAGTAAAGGGTTCCACAAAGAAAACAGAACTGTCTCTATTCAGTCCACCTACTCTCAAAATAGACTAAAGTTTTGGTCTCACTCACAGCACATTATTTCTTTTCTTCTTTTTCTTCTTGATGTTACTTCTTATGCCTCCCTAAACTCCCCTGGCCCTTTTGAGATCACCTGCCATGGCACTAGAGGCAGATTGCAGACTGCATCCAAATTTAGTAGGGGGGTAGGCGCAGAAAGCCAGATATCCTGACACCCCTGTAGTTTGATTTAGCATCTGGTCAGAGCACATCCCAGGTTTCTTCTGCTTGTATCTTGCTTTCTCTGGCTGGAGAATGAAGGTATAGCTGTGTGTGTGTGTGGCATGGGATAACAAGGCTGATTCCTTCCTGGTAGTGGCTGGGGAGAAGCTAGGATAAGAAGACAGACCCAGGACCTCAGAAGTGCTGCCACAGACATGGCCTGAGGCTGTCCAGATGCAAGAAAGCCAGCAAAATCTACAACAACTGATTATCTGCCAGACTTGGGCTCCTGTATAGTCAGTGGTAGGAAATAATGGTGGTACCTCCAAGAGAAGTCTGATGTATGCAGTGCAATTATTTCTTTCCAGTGGCTGCATAAGAAACCAAAGTATGGAAGCCCTAAATAATACAGGATCCAGGAGGATCCAGCTTCATGTGCAGGAAGAGTCATCTGAAATGCCTCACGTGCTAATGTGAGAAGACTGAATATGGCCCAAAGGATTTAGGAAAGCTTAGAAAATAACATTAAGAATGAACAGGTTCAAGACTGAAAGTAGTGATACTTTCTAAATTTCATAAAGTCCAGCTTTCATCTACACTTCAGTGCATGCACGATAAGGTACATAAGTAACCTCTGCATTTCACCAGCCCATTTTGCTGTTGGAGACCAGTCTGATCCTGTTACAAACTGGAGAAGTAGGGCTTGGCCACAAGTGGACAAAACTGGTTTTCATCAGGAAGCGTCAGCACCTTGAAATCAAAGCTTTACTCTGAGAAGATCCTACTTGCAGCGAAACCGGAGTTGTTCACAGGCATAAGATACAGCTCAGAGCAAAATGGCAAGATCATCACAGCACTTCCTCCCCGTAGGGAAGACACATGTTCCAGCCCTATTCAGGCAGACCTTTGCAGTATGGCTTCGTGCCCAAACCACTGGCTTACAGGATACTCTCATGGAGCTCCTACACCCTTCATAAATAACTGTGTACTCACTGGAATAGGAACATCTTCCATAAGGCAGGGGAATGCTATATACCATTAACCACTAACATGGGTGTCTCTAATCTGTCATCCACTGCGATCACCTGACACAGGACTTCACTGAATCAAATTACGGTTAAAACAATTTTCAAGAGGGAGAATTCACCAAGTCATTGTAGTAGTTCACTAAATTTACTGTCCTTTTATCATAACTACATGTTTGACTACATTTCTGTTTGGATCTTTAACTTCAGGCAATGCTATCTATAACACAAGAGGCTCTCACCCACTTAATGTGATTGAAATTATACTAGAAAAAAACCTGAAGCAGTAACCAGATCTCTTAATACATAGTATTTGTAATGTAAAAAATAGTAAGTTCTTAATCTTAAAAAAAGTTATGACCTGACCCTGTTATTTTAGTAAACTTTAAAAATTGCCCATTTGTGAGTGCATTGTTTTCTCGGTAACTAATCCACACAATCGTGCAATGCTCTGATTCATTCCGCTGCACCATTTTCCACCACAGTAAGTTTGGTCTGTGGAGTTGATCCTATCCGATCCTATTAGCCAGACTTTAGGGGAAGGGGACTGGGTGGGCAGAGGTACCCAGCTTTAGCACCACCACCACCCCGTGCTTCTTTGCATTGTTCTAGTGATAGGCTTCTGCTTGGCCTCTGAGGAGATGGTGTTCAACCTCCAGACCAAATTACAACCAGTGGAGTTCGAACTTATATGCTGATAGGAAGGTGTGAAAATGCAACCTAAAATATTTTACTCCAAGGGTGATGAGGACTGGGTCATACCAAGACAATCAGAAAACAAATGGGCATAAGATATTGAAGGGACAGAAATGTACATGAAGGCACATAACAAAGAAATGTGAATTTTTGCTGTTTAAAATGTGGTTTCTCAAAAAGCACAACAGGCTGCAGACTGGAACAACACAGGACACCAAAAGAGAAGCGCAGCATGTGAAGAGCCAGGGAAGAGAAGACAAAGGAGAGGGACTAGGAAGGAGCTACCATTGATGTACCTGCAAACAGAGCACGGACCTGAAAGTAGATAGGCTGTCACTGAAGGCACACCTGTCCTCTGGCTCAGTTAGTCCTTGCTAATGGTTATGTGGTGGTCCTGCTACCAGCGTGCTCACCTCTGTCCATCTTTCTGATTACGACACTCACCACTGTTACTTAAGCATTAGGCAAAGAGGGAGCTAAGCATGGATGGGGATACAGCAATGCTGTTACAGTTACTTCAATTGCTCTTCCAGTAAACTGCCCATCTGAGCATGACTTAGGCATAGATGCAAGAGGAGAAAAACAGCCATTAGCACCTCCCCTCAGTGGAAGGATAGGAGATAAAGGAGTCATGTGAAGGATGAAAGAGCTAACAAAACCCAGTGCTCTATCCAGACCCTTATTAACTCCCTCAGCAGCAAGCAAGCCATCTTCTAGGCTTTCTCTGAAACTAGCTTATGTTTTACTACGCTTTAACAATTCCAAGCTAGCTTCTGTCCCTTGACACAATATCTAAAAATTCGCACTCCAAACAGCAATTGCTGTAATAATAACAATACTTACATTTCATTATTTAACCTCATGCTATTCGTTCATGACGATTAGTGCTTAATTAATTAACAACACTTAGCGTTTCCACTTAGCACTTTGCCTCTTCAAAGTATCATACAGACAATACCTAATTAAGGGCAGAGCTCTGCAGACACTTCACATCAGGACTTCCCTCTGACAGCTCTGCATCCTGAGACTTGCTCACATGATGTAGCGTGAATTCAAGTTGAAAGCCCTATTGACTTCATCAGGAACCAGGTAATGCCCTGGCTATCAAGTGACTATCCTTGCAAATTCCTTTTCTTTTCCTGTTGCTGCTGGCTGCTTGCTATTCACCCAGGGATCTAATTATGGGCTAATGTGATGGGTGATAATGTGAACCTTGTACTAGTGTTATCCACAAAACCTTCATTCTTCCGTTAGTGAAAACCTTATTCTCAGTCACCTGGTTGAACTGCCTTTGGACAGAAAATGTGTTAACCACAAAAACAGATTATAAAATGTCAAGCCAGAGTTTTTAAGGGAGATGGTGCTTTCAATCTATCAGTCAAATGCCTGCTACGAAAGTGCCTTTCCTGTAAGCACCCCAGGGTGCTACACAACATCAATAGACAATATAAACACAGAGCTTTTATGGTTCACTTTACAATTGGACATTGACTCTGAACCTGTGAAACAGAAAGGAATTGAATTTCACGACTGAAGAGGATAATGTGCACAGGATTAAGCAGACAACACTAGTAGAAGTAGGAAAGCAATATGGCATTGGTGCTGATGGAGAGATTAAATTTACAAATAAGAAACCAAAGGAATAAAACAATTCCGAGTAAACTCTCATAAACCAGCAGTAGCGCTCAATGCTTCACACTGATCCACTATTTTTTTGACAGAATCAAACGTGCTGATGGTTTTTTTCACAGCCCACTGATTCACTGAGCCTTGACGATGGGAACTGAACAAAGAAAGCCCTAAATATGTAATAGCTCCAGCCAAGAGAATTACTCTGACAGTATGGAAAGAAACTTCTGCTGGAGTCAAATTGGAAGAAAAAGAAAACATTCATCACTGTTCAAGAACTTGTCTAGTGTCTCCGAGGATGTCGTCACAGGGCAGTGGCTGGTGGTGCTGAAACCTGCTCCAGAAGAAAGCAAGCGATCCAATACAGCAAGACGGCTTCCAGCTCTGAGCGGTGCTGTGGTATGTCACGTGCACGACACAGCTCCCATCGACTGGGTCAAGCAGCTTTCTCAGGAAGCCCCGCTTGCCAGATGAGCCACAGCTTGATGGATATTAGAAATTTAAATGCTTTGGTTCTTTGAAAACTGACTGTATTGAACAGAATCTGACCTAACCATTTTGGCACTGAATTCTTCCACAAGGATAACTGTGTACTGCTAACTGCAGTGTCTTTGTGCCCAAAATATGCTGTGTTAGTGTTACTGTTAAATTCTAAAATCCCACGAGTTTAAAATAAAAAACAGGCCTTACTATCCTATATTACGTTTATATAATTTCCTTTAAGCTGCAGATGGATGAGACCCTTATTGCCATATTCAACCTCAAGCTGAGGGTCAGATACTCGTCCTAGACTTTTCTGGATATGTATGTTTGGAATTCAGTACTTGCCTTTCATCTTCCTCCCAGACCCCACAAATTCTTTTCCCCTTACTCAGCTTCAATTTCAACCCGCCAATACTCCCCTGCCACCAGTTACCACTGTCCAGGGCTCCCTTATCTCAGGCACCAAACAGCCTTGCCAGCCCCAAGCAGCTAACAGCTAAGCTCTGCATCACTTGGTTATCCTGCAGCCCTTTCTAAAGTTTACCACCTGGGACCCATCCCAGACCCATTCCAGCCTGCCCACGACCACTCCCCCGGACCACTTCTGCACTGGTTAAGGCTGCCTGTATTGTTACATGCAAATTAGGCAAATCATGCACCTTTCTTATAATGAGTTTCCTAAAATGTAATGCCCATGACAAAACCGTCCACTCTGGTCACTGTTGATCAGGAAAAGATACCTGTTTATTATCATGCACGTTGGATCAGGGCATTAACAAATGTGTAATGAAGCTACTATGGAAGCTGATTCAAGCTATTGCCTAGGTAACTGCGCTTCTGTTTCTAGCACAAGGCTGTCACACGAACCCTTCTGATCACTTTTCTATTTACATTTGCTGTGCATCTGTCCCGGCATCTCCAAGCCCTGACGTCTTGGAGAAACACACGCTGAGATACTTCCTGACTGGGATCAGCTTCCAGTACGGGAACTCTGCTGGGTGTGGCTCAAGATGTGAACCAAATGCAGGCATAAAAACACAGTTAAGAGACAAAAGCCTGGCATTTGGAAGGCAGTTCTCTACTCTGGTATGACAAAAGTAACTGTTTAGATGACTTTTATAATTAGGATTTTACCTCTCATTCTCCTGTTTTACTCAGCCAATACAATGAAACGGGTTGGTCTGTTTAGTCTGTCCCACAGTTTTCACTCCCGCTGTCATTACCCTGTATTCAGACAGTTCTATAGGGTGTTGGGGTTTCAAAGCTTCGTAGGACTGCCTATTCATTTCTGCCGTTCATAGTGCTCTCCCTGTAAGAGATCACGGGGATGTGTCCATCGAGTAGTCAGCAACAGGTCCACAGTGGTCACGAATGTAAATTCCAGCATGTATTTCTTCCCTGCTTCCAGGCATCGGTGTCTGATGCCACTGGGATAATTTATACTTTTTGGCTATCACAGCCTCCTACTGCAATGAATTTCACCAGTGATACTGATTGCATTAAGCTGTATGTGTGCATCCCTTGTTGCTTCATCAGAAGAAATTGTTCCTGCTGCTGCACCACCATGGTGCACAGTATGCAATTTAGCCTGCACAGGGGGCACTGGATGGATTGTTTGATGACTTGTGGCACAAGACATGCTAATCTTCTTGCCTAGTGAAATTGCTCAGCACTAGGGTTAATACTGAAGCGCAGGCCAGCTGAAGCTACCTTTAAAGGGCAGGGTATGTTCCAGGGCGAATGGTTTATACAGTTACACTAGGTATATATTTTACTTATAATTTTATCACTACACCTATTTTAAGCACAGCCTTTCAATTAATTGATTCTTTGGACTTGAAATAGACAGTATTGAAATATTTCTGACAATGGTATTTTCACAAGTAGCATCACCCATCCCACCTCAGCTCAGATTTCTCACCTTAGTGGTCCACAACTTGATTGTCCAGTCAAATGATGATGTGACAAAGAGATGGGAAAAGTCAATTGGACCCACTGCCATGTGACAATTGATTCCTGTGACAGGTCCTTGGTGGCCTTCAAAAATTTCACCAATGCCAGCTTTACTGCAGGAAGAAGAGACATTTGCTTTCAAAGAGTGATTTAACATCTGGTGATTTCATATAATTTTTCTTCACTCTCAGGTTCCTGCTTCCTTTTAAAATTCCATTTAATCTGTAAATCTCTCCTTTCAGTAAGGCCTTTCCTGCAGAGGTTTACTGCTGTGGGCACAATTAATGCTCAGGATCCAGTGCAAGAGGACTTTCTCTTGCTTCTGAAGACTTGCCTTACTCACTTGTACATACACTGTCTACTACTGTAGCTTGAAATAACATTTACGTATAATTGTAAAATAATTCTAAATTATAATTATACTATAGCTTATGCCTCTGAGTAAGCCACTGTCACAACGAATAACAATTAAAATAAAAATGCAAATACGATAATGACTTATCATGAGCAATTCTTTTTCTCTTAAATATCTGAAATAACTTTCCACAGCAGTCAACAAGTCACTAGGAAGCAAACCCTCTTTCACCAAAACTGAAGGAACTGTTCCTGTGATCAGGTATCATGCAGTCATTATTTTGAACAAGGGGAGATGGGCATTTCATCGGCCTGAGGCTAGAATAGCTATTAGGAAGGAAAAATACAGTGCTATATAAGAGAGAATGTGTGCAGTTCTCTTCTTCCTGGAAGGAAATGAAGCCAGCTCAGTTGTCAGTGCTGTCTCAGAGTGTATACAGAAAGGGGAATCATGAAATTATCCTTTTAGTTACATTATGGAAAAATTGCCAATGGAAGAAAATACATTTAAAATAGCCACAGCTCTGACAAGGCTGCCAGCCCTGTGCCAGTGCGAGTACAGCGTACCCAAAGAGATGAGGATCTGCACTGGAGGAAACTGGTCCCTTGTATTCCCAGTGTGGTGTCCCCTCTGCTCTGCTGTCGACCACGAGAGTGTGGCCTCACTCAGGCTCCCCTGCCAGCCCTCGCACCATGTGCTGGAGCAGGGGCTGAGTCCTGCAGTGCCTCTGCAGGGCTGGGTACAGAGCACACCTCTTCTTTTACCCCCATCTGTCTGCCGTGTAGTTGGCGGGGTATGGGGAGTTCTGGAGCACTGAGAATACCTCGTGCATCTGCCTTTTTCCAGAATAACACAGGGCTCCCCACTGTGCTGGGCTGAAGGACACAGGAAGCCTTTGGATATAAAATGGGAATGATAGCAAAAAGGTCTAGGAAAGAGGCGGGAGCAGATTGTTGATGGTCAGCAGGTGGTTTGCCAAAAAGGTGGGCTAACAAGAGGATCTGGCACCTTCCTCCTCCTGTGAGGAACAAACCAAGCTTGTGTGAAAGATCAGAAGTGAGAAATGCCCTTGGGCATGCTTCATTTATCCCAGCAGCCTAAGACTAATTCAAACCATCAGCTGCCACACAGCCTATCAGTATAGTGCCTAAGCAGACAGTTTTGCAATACTGTCAGCAGTCAGGCTAAAACAAAAATATTTTAAAATAAAAATTGTATTGAACAAAATATATGTAAAACAGTATTCATACAACGTTAGGAATGTGTAACAGAAGCCTTAGTGTCTTAAACAAGTGTATCAACACTATTTCGTCAACAGAAACACAGAACATGATAAAATATTAATTCAGAGAAGACCTGAAACTATTGAAGTGTGGGGGTGAGCTTCAAATCTATCAGTGAAAAAAATTTGTTCTTTACAATAGCTTTTCAAGCATCCCAGTGGATGAAACTACTACCAGAAGCTAACAGAGCACACTAGCATCCTGCAGATTTACAGAATGCAAAATAAGGAGCTTGCAGTAGAAAACTGCAGCCTGGGCTATGCGAGGAAGCGGTATGACCGCTGTGTGTGAGAGAGCGCAGGGTACCAGTCCTGGGAGCGCGTCGGCCAGAGCTCGTGTACCCATGTGGCTGCTGCAGCTGCGTCCGTGTTAGCAAACACGCCAGGCAGCAGCCCGGACTGGGGGCAAACGGTGTGGCATGGCTCCCGGCTGTACGACAACACCGTCTCACCCTCCTGGAGAGGGCGGGCATGTCCAGCCTGCCCACCGAGAGCCTGCAGTGCTGTGCGGGAATGCGGGTGCTGGATGGCCGTGCGCTGGGACACGCGTGCTCTGTTTCTTGCATGCGTGTGTGCCCGCAGTGGCTTTTCTCCGATATACGCCTGCGGAGACTGAAGGTGGAGCTAAGGGCAGTAAAAAATAAAGCAGATGACCATCTCTTACGAGTGATTTAGGCCTGGTTACCCTGCAACACAACCATCTCCTATGGGCTCATTTGACCTGCCCAGACATAGATACGTACATCTCAGCTAGTTGTCTAGACCTCTGTCTCACCTCGTGGGTGGGAAAGAGACATTTCTGAGGTCCCAGTCATCTCTTCTTCAGGCAAATGTCTGAAAAAGGTGAAGGTAATCAAACCCTAAGAGCAATCGTTGCTCCCACCAACCCTGCATGCAGGGAGCCTGTGGCAACTACCTCAGTATGGCAGGCTGCAGCACAGATGCTCAAAGTCAGTCAAGCAACTCCTGTCCTAGTTGTGCAAAGTAGAACAGTATAAACACCATTGATCCAAGAGAAAAAACATGAAACACTCTCCACACAGATTACCTCATGCCAACACAGTTACACAATGTCATTTAAGTACAAAATGCGAACTTCACCTTCCATGACGACAGGCTGTGTAGACTGTTCCCTCTTCACTGCCAACGACAAAGTTATTGACATCTCCGGTTGGGAAAGCCATTCCTGTAACCGCCACTGGTTTGGACTTATTGTACACCAGCTCCATGCTCTCCTACCAAAACAAGTATTTGTTATTATTCTGAGATCATTTCTTTGTTTGGCTGGAGTTTTTTTGGGGTTTTTTTGTTTGGTTAGTTTTTTTCCTATTTAGTTTCTAAATGTTACATGGGGTAGCAGGAGGGAAGAAGAAATCGTTTGACCTAGCCACCTAGCCATAGGACTTTGGTTGTGAGAAGATGCAATGTCACAAACAAGGATGCACTGCTCCTGCCATCCCCGCGCTGTCTGTCGCACGTTTGAGAGCAGCTGGAAGGCACTGGTCTTTGCTACATTGTCTTAAATCAAGCAGAGATGACAGGTGAGAATTTAAAATCTAATGGTACGGAAACTAAAGATAATACCTTAATGGTTACACTTGCCAGCCCCAGGCTCTAATAAAACATGCAATACCCTTCTATTTACAAACACTTTTGAAATAAAATGTTTGCCAGGAAACATGTGTAATATTGAGTACACCTGAGGCATTTATCAGGCTGTGCCATTTGTCCCTTTGCAGAACAAAATTTGAAAGCTGGAGTCCTGTCACTGCCACCACTCTAAGCACTGCTTTTCAGGGATTTTCTGAGACAACCATAAGCACTCCCTCTAGTCTCCAGCATCAAGCTACAAACCAGCAAGCATATTTTCTTTTTTCATTTGGTAGCTATATTTCAAAGTTAATCAGCATGTCCATTTTTGCTATTGCAAGTACAACCAGCATGAACAGTTTGTGGCCGTTGCAAGCTGCATACGCTTTGAGCACATTTTGCACAACATTTTGGTTGTTCAGCCTAAATGGCGTAACCCAAGAATCCACAAAGGGGCTGAATGATTTCGCAATTTTCATTTTTAGCTATTTAAGTGGGTATGGTTTTCATGTTCAAAATGTCTAAGCTGCTATTCTTCTAGGGCCGAAGCCTGTAGCGTTTCTCCCAGAAGGGCTTTTTGCTGTAGCTAAAGACAGGGGTCATCTCTGTGAGAGGAGAGGGCTGCAAATCCATAGAGAAATATTTTGCTTGTTTTATACTTTTCTTTGAAATACATTTGGTTCTGCTAAAAAAGCAAAATAAGACCTGGAAAATACATCTTCACAGAAATATATGGTCCACAGAGCACCTGTGGACCATATATTTCTGTGAAAATCTTCTGGGGTAAGATCATCATCTAACGTCTCTGTGGAGACACGGCCAGGTACTGTGGGGGACTCTCTCCTCTCAGCGCCTGCACCATGGTTGTACATGGGTGCTCTGGATCTGTGTCTTTGGAAAGTTCCAGACTGACACACATTAGCAACACTCTGCTCCTCCCAGTTTAAAGCTATGGCATGTAGCTTGATGTCAAGTCCTGTGCCTTTCTTCCAGCATAATGTGGGGTGTGTTCCCATCCTTGCTGAAAGCAAGTTTTGGAGCAGGGAAATTCCATTGCAGTGATTATGTACTGGAACTGAGATGTTCACAAATCTCTGCTTCAAAATTTAATATTCCAGTAAGTGAATACATAAGGGTGGGGTTTATCTTCTTGATGTTTAAGTGAGCAAATGGGGAAGGGATTCAGGTACCTAAACATAGGTGTCTGAGCCATTGTAGATGCCCCCACTTCTATTCCAGAAGAGTATTGTTTTCTCACAGGACACAACTGCCAGACCCATACTGTTGCCTTAGATGAGCATGAGCAAGGTGATCTAACTTTGAAGCTGGCCTCCCTTTGAGTAGGGGAGTAGATGGGATGACTTCCAGAAGCCTCTTCCATCCTAAGATTTGACAGGTCTGTACCCCAGAGTGGGTATCTGAAATGGGATGGGATGAGTCGTTCTCCAGAAGTGTCCAGTCTCTCTCTACATTAACTGTAAACGGAACTCAAATTACTAGCTTAGACTTGAGACAGACCTAACTTTTAGATGGCTAAGGTTAGGATAATGGAGTCCCACCTCTTGTGTCAACACTGAAAAGCAAATATTTTTATAGTAATTGTACATTAATGCATGATTAATGGATGATTAATAGAATCATTAAGAGGAATTTCTACACAGCAGAAACAAGTTCAGATCTCACGATGATTAGTAAAAATGACAGTAATTTTTTTTTTCCCTAAGAAATTATGTATAAAAAATGAGTGATGCATTGGAACAGAAAATGTACTACTCCGGAAGATAACATTTAAAAGATGCTTCCAACAGAGCTTTTCCAGCATCAGATTCTTTGTTTAGTTTCCATTATTATAATCACTAGTGGTTTGGACAATTTTCCTGGGTTTCCTTTCATTTCTGATACAAAGAAGAGGAGGAGGGCGAAAGACAATAGTAGCAAACATTCCAGAGGGGGGAAATTAGTTCTAAAACTTTTGATTTGCATTGTTTGTTCCTTTGGCTACTGAAGGAAGGCAGCAAAGTAGGCTTTCTAACTGCGTGCCTTGGAAACCCGTAGTGCCTAGGGTGTGTTCAGCAGCAGTGCAATCTAGTCCGTATTTGTTAAACAATGCTATAGAGTAAGTACAATTTATACCACAGGCGACTTCTGTAATTACAGTGCTTTAAAATGGATTATTTCATTTTCACTTGAAACTGACCTATGTATTAACGTATTACAATAATTACATGATTTGTGGTAAAGGAAATGGGTTTTGGCTCTTAGCAGAGACTGCTGGAAGCAAGCTGTACTCTTTCAAGTGCATCCATTGGTTTTAGTTTGTATAGGACGTGAGGTTTTGGCTTTTAGGAGCTATGTTCCATTAAACAGGTATCCTGCTCTACTGAAGGCGCTTTTTTTCCCTGTATAGGTGAAAACAAACCCACCTGTGGAGTTGAGAGCATGTCCAGGCTCCAGGAGCACATCTTGCCGTCCGTAGAGACAGTAATGAGATTGTGCGCATTCTGTGTTCCAACTACATTCACACAATACACAGGATGCTGAAAACACATCAACACTGGGAATCAGAGAGTCATTCTCACATCTTCATGGACAAATTTCTAATGTCTCATGTTATTTTAAAGAATGATTAAGTAGTCACATAATCCCTGGAAAATACTGGACTCAGTTTTTGCTAGATAGGAATTGTTTTGGCATTTTTTTTTAATTTCAATTTTAAGAACTACATTATGGAGGTGGAAATGTTTTCAAAGTTTCATTTTCCTCATAATAAAACAACCCAGCTGAGTAATGCTGTGAAAATACTGAATTATGTGGATGAGATTTCACCCACAGGGACATGTACCATTCGGATGATGGCTTTTGACACTGAAAATAACCGGCAGAAAGAGGCAAATTGTCCAAATGGAATAAAAATGAAAACTTTAGTCAAGAAAAAAGCTGCATAAAACTTTACCTTTCCAGAATTTGGCTTGCATGCTAAATATTTGCAAATGCATTCCAGTTGAAAAACATGAACAAGTCCATCAGCATTCTCCAGCACTGGCCAATCTATACCTTTTTAAATCTGTCATTATAAATGTGGAGGGACTAAATTCAGGGTGTTACACCTGGTTCACCATAGCGTAGTCATTCCGTAGAGGCTGAAGTTCACTTAGTATGCAATAATGAAACTTGGCCTATTCCTTTTCCAAGGAACCTGGTAACATTTTGAGCCTGAAGTGTCATCTGATATCTGACGGTGACGTATGAGGGATGGTTCAAGGTCAGCAATCTCCAGAGTGAAAAATCAGTTAGAGTGAACAGCAAGATTTAATTTCCTTTGACCAGTACGAGTGATACTGCTGAATTAAGGGTAAGACATATCCACAAGTCAAGCAAATAAAAAATGTATTTATTTGCCTCTTTTGCTGATGAACAGAAGACCTGCGTCTCCAGGAAGAAAAAAATACATTTCACTAATACTTTCCTTATTTAAAGAAAATTAGGACCAACTTACAAGAGATCCCTACAGAGCTTCTAAGCCAACTCCATGTAGGGTTAGAAACCTAGCATTTGCTCCCGCTGAAAGGAATGGCAGAACTACCACGTATTGTAGACTACTTTGAGATCCAGCTGGAGGTCACCTACGCAGTCAGTAAGGAAAGGCAGAAATCTGCAGAGCGCTGGCTAGCTCTCAGGTTTGATACCTGAGCGGGCCCCGTAAATGCCCCCTCCCTGAGCACAGAAAGGACAGCATCTGAATGCACAGTGTGTGTGTACACACACACCGGAGGTGCACTCAGCAATTGCTGCTGAAATGGTACCTTGTGCTTGCAGGCCACCTGTACACACCAGTAAGTCATAAGGTCCATTCTGATGCTGATTTTTCTCTTTTATTCTCAAGACTGTCAGACACCTGATTTCCTCCAGATCATCAAATGGACCCCAATCTGTGCCTCACATGTGTCTTGTGCTATTACCCTCACACGATGGACCTTCTTGCTGCTTAGTGGTGAGCTATACATGATTTGCACATACTGATGTGTGAAATAGGCACAGACTGACTTTTTCATGAGTATTTGGCCTCCAGTAGTCCCAACAGACAGGGACAGAGTGGGTGGGAGGAAGCTAAAGAAAGCAGTGGAGTATCTAGAATATTTAGGAGGGGAGGGAGAGAGCGAGCCATGTCTTTCCAGCAGTACCTCAGTGTGCCAGCTCTGACTTTAATCAGCCATCAATTTCATGCACAATAAAACTCAGGCAGAAATGAAAAGACGTAAGGAAAATGGATGAGAAAGACAACCAACTGCACATAACAGAAAGTCTAAACAGTCTCCTTCCTTTCAAAGGGTTGCTGCCAGCTTGTTTTTATTTATTTTGCAAATGAAATCGTCATGCAAAAGGGCTTCATCTTAATTAAAATTTCCTGTTGTCCCAAGTGCAGATGTGTGGTGGGTGTGAAAGGAAATTAGTGAATAAGCTGTGGGTAGAATTCTCTTTCCTAGTGAATCCAGGCGGCAATCAGTGATACTAAACTTCAGGAAGGTTTAAGTCAGTGATAACAACCCACTCTATCTGTTTCCAATAAACAAAGTGAGAGAAAGAAAGAGAAAAATCCTTTTTTCACATATGTCATCAGTTCAAATTAAAAAATGACTATTCAACTCACATATCCAGCAGTACATAAAGTAACATTGCTACAGTACAGTTGTCTTAATTTAATCCTTTTTTTTTTCTTGGCAGCTAGGATTCAAGCCAGCCTTTTGCAACCAAGACTTTGTTTACAGTTTATGTAATTGATTCCTATATATGAACTTAAAGTAAGCACTCGTATTGTAAAATCCGATCCTTCTTAAACTCCTTAAAAACATCATGCTTCCTCACACTAGACTGTGTAAACACTTATCTATATCAATCCATGACAGCACATAAAGTGCCCATCCACAACTGAAAGTCATTTATTTATATTTTTCAAAAGCAAAACACTGTATACTGTTCTATTGCAATAATAAAGCTAGTTTAATAGGTAATTCCAGGAGGTACAGTTTTGTCTTAAACGTTTTTTGAGTGTAAACCAATTACTTCCCATTAATCTTTTCTTTTCCATTAGATTTTGAGTCCCAGTTGTTCAATTTGCAGTGACAGTCAGCTTCTTGTCACTAGTTTTCTGGTCTGCTACGTCTCTAAATTGCACTTCCAGGAGCTACCATTTCTCTTTGTGCAGATTGAACAACATTACTGGTGACAAAATGAGCAAAAACATTAGGGAAATGAAAAATAGTGTTGAAGTTGCAATCCATGGCACAGATCATTAGATTATTACATTATTACATCAACATTCATGATAGCGGAAATTTAGGGAACAATATTTGTACTGCCTGGCCCACTAAGCGTGTCTGTGCACACCTGTCATTTTTTAATATGAGAGAGTTGCCATCATAATACTGGCCCTGTGCTGAATCTTTTGCATTAATTCAGGTGGCATGGCTTCTAGAGTTGTCTTTTAACTCCAGGGATTATGTTGTCACAGTCAACTAAAAGCTGAACCTTGATCTGCAAATTCCAAAGATAAGAATCGCAGAACTGTAAAAGCTGGAGGTGCAAAAGACCTATCACTTTGTCTGATCCTCCCCTCTGCTAGAACAAGATTATTATCTTATCTCTCAGAGTGCTTTATGTAGTTCAGTTTCTTATGTTTCAGGAAATCTTCATTCTTCTGCATTCTTATATCATACTATTACATTTTTCTCCTCCTTTCAGCCTGTATTTTCTTTTCTGCTTCCCACTCAGGAATGGTCCTAAGCCCACTCCCAAGATGAGATATGTCTACCATCCACAGGGTACACCTTCCAGCTCTTACCAAGAGGCTGCCTGAGCCAAAACTCTGGAAGAGCAGAGCTCAGGAATGCACAGCATCTCAGTGCAGGATGGACTGGAGGTCAGCGCTGCAGCAAAGTGAGGACACTTCAGCAGGCAGTCGGGGCTTGCCTCTTCCTCCAGCACAGTATGAGTACTTTGCAATGTAAGAGAGTCTTCTACCACATACATCATCTTTGTATCACAGAGAAACTCTCTTCCTTTTTGTGCTACTGTTCTGCCTGTATATCTCCCAGACATCACCAGAGCCCTGTGCCACCATCACTGTGTCTGCAGGCATCTGTGTGTGTCAGCCAAATGCTCTTCCACATCATTCTGTTGAAACAAACTCCCTCACACCGTGCAGGCTCTGCCCTATGGCCCTGTCTGGAGCAGGAGGCCATGACAGGCATTTATGCTCTACTGGAGAATACCAGCAAAGTGCCCCATGCTCTTCAAGGGCACCAGTGTCTACTTACAGGACTCCACTGAGACCACCATAGGTGCCAAATCTGGTTCAAAAAAGAAACTCATGTACAACAAGACAACAATAAAAGATTCATATTGCCTGCCATGCTGGACTGACAGACACACAGTCACTGTAGTGACTGGGCTCTCTTTACAGGCAGTGGTCACAGTGCCACTGTGCTGGCACAAAGGTGCCTCACTCAAGTGTTGTAACTGATCCTGCCCTCTTCCTTGGAGAGTAATCTCCTGACCCGACCATATGAAGTGTGATGGTTAAGCACTTGCAGGAGGTGGTTGTACATCTCTCTTATCTATTTCTTTCCCTTCAAGGGCCACACTTACATTTTCATCTATGTGGCAACCAGCATTGTAGACACAACTAGACAGATCCACTTCCCTGCTGACCATTTCCTCTAAGGAAAGGAGGAGGTGATTTTCATCCTTACCGTGTGAGCAGCAGCAGATAAGGGAGTTCTCTGAACCGGAGTGCGCCTGTGACTGCGGTTATCCCACAAGACAATTTGGCCAGAGTACGTTCCACCAACGACCAGGTTTGGGTGAAAGCGGGCAAAACAGACAGACATCACAGAGGACTGGAGTAAAACAGGTACAGAAGAAGAGAGGGGTTACATGGTCAGTCATCTTCAGTTCTCTCCTTAAGGAAGCACATTGCAATTAGCATTTTGTATTTTAGAAATCACTGTATGAGCTGTATTCATATTCCTTGCACACCAGTGATTCTGCTAAAGCCAATGGGACACATGCAGAGAGCTAATTTTGACCGTAAAACATGTAGTTCCATTGGTCCTAGGGAAAATATGCACCACAGGATGAGTCTTCACATGATGCTAAAAACCTGAGACAACCTCTCCATGACAGTGATGGGAAAGTGCTTAATTTCATTTCCAAAAGTGAGAATTTCAAGTAACCAGATGCCAACCCAACAGAGGTTGGCATCCTGGC